AGAGTCCTTATAAAGGTTATCAAGGAATTACATTCGAAAAAGCTTGATATGGCTTGAAACTCAAAATCTTTGACTTCAAATTTATCAAAAACTAGGTACTGAGCAGATTGAACTTAGTAATTCTGAGGTAGCGAAGTGGTGTATTTTCTCAATGTGTCTCCTAATCACGAGTCCACGAATTTCAGAAACGTATGTGTGCCAAGTGGCGTGATTTATCTCAGAAAGCTGTGCGTCTATTGATCCATGTTCATTAGACACGCCATTGCCTCTTAGAGCCTAACCATAGCAAGTACCATAGCAGCACTATAACAATGGCTTCACAGTTTGAACGCTCTGATTTGTTCTGTCACCCGCGACAATTTCTTGCAATCAAGTAACCAAGAGAATAAATGTTGTTACAGCTCGTGCGTGATTTAAAGGAAAAAGAATAATTAATGAAGTGAGACTTTAAATACTTTCAGTTTCTTGCCAGACGTTCAATAAAGTGGCTGTTGAAAAGCTCGCTCTGTTCCCCAGGAACCCCCATGATTGCTGGGCAAGCACACACAGGCTCTTGTCACAGAGAGCTCTTGGCTCGTGAAATCGATCATTTCCCGCAGAAATCCATTTGCTCATTCTCCCAAGGAGAATCTTTCATATCCTTTGAATAATTAAGAGGTGTAACCTCTTGTTTTGTACAATTCACTTTACAAACTTAGTGTGAGTGATGATAATTACCCTCAAAATGAGGGCAGGTACTCTACTGGTAGCCTATAAAAGAGGAAGGGGTCTAGCTATATTTGGTCTGATCTGTATTAGAGCGCACCAGAAGATGTTGAGAAAATATCAAGGTGCATTTAAAGTTCATTTCTGAATTTCAGAGGCACATAACGACTTTTTATAGTGGACACACGTCTTAAGCACAATACAACAATACAAGAAGACATAGGAACAGTTTTATCGTGCGCTCAGCTCTATATGATTGCAAGTATAAAAAGCAAAAAAAAAGCAACGATTTCTTCTTCAAATTAAAAGAATAATTTTGAAAGAGGTTCAGACGATAGCAGCTTGATATTTATTCTCTCGTTGCTCTTTGGTATTGGGGTGTTTGAGAGATACAAAAGGGACCACTATGGTGTTCATAATGACAGGGCACACAGAAGAAAAACCTCCAGAAGAAAGTGAAAATACTGAGTCCGTGTCTGAACCCGAAGGCAGCACACCAGCTCTAAAAGATGGCATAGAAAAAGACTTCCTTTTAGTTCGACCAAAACCCCCGCAGTTTCTTTCCATTAAAGACATCCTAACGAAACCATTGCCAAAGCAAAAGACAAACTGTGACCTCGACTCGCAAGTAGAGCTTATATCAGTTCGGAAAAGTGTTAACAGTGTTGAGGAGAACAATTTGGATTCTTCAAAATCTCTTGAAAGCCAAAGGAAAGATTATATTGCTAACCATGGGATGGCACCAAATAATAGCTTTGATCTTAAGAGCTCCCTTCTTTCAGCAGGAGATGGAAAAGCGAATAGTTTTCAAAATGAGAAACATAACCTCAGCATTTTGGATGGTGACAATATCAGTGATCTCCCCTTTCCTGCCACGTTACTTTCAAAACAAACAGAAGTTAAAGAACAAATGCTTACTCATAACTCTCTACCGGACATACTTTTTACAGCCCAGTCTGAAAACCCATTGTGGCAAGCTTCTTTGTGGCAGCGACTTTACAACACCAACAAAGCACTGTCTACGACATCACTCCGCCCTTCCCCGTCTCACCCGCTCGTTCCGTCCCTCGTCAGCGCCTCACAGACTCACTCGGAGACTGCGCATCAGTTCCAGCCTGTTGGCATCCACGATACAAGCATTGCTGCGCCAAATACAAACGACTGTGTGTCATCAGCACAGACGTCAAAAGCGGAGTTTACGGAAAGGTTGCGCTACAAAGAAAGTCAAAGTCAAGATGAGGAAGAAGGAAAGACAGGTAAGGGCAAAACATAGGTAAGCTTACATTTCATAATATACTGTCATTTCCAATCTTCTTTTACTACTCACCTTCCACTTTCTTAAGATTGGAAACTAACTGAAAGATAGGATTCACAGACTATATTTTCCGTCTCCCTACCCTGTCCTCTTTTGGACCAAGTCCAGATAATATTCAACTAGAATCTACGCTCACCACAATTGTTCTCGAGAGTTTGCCACAACCCCCCGTCCGTTATTTTTTTTTTTTACTGCCCCCAGCCCCCCCTCCTTTTCCAACCTGCCAAGGAATTCAATTATTGAAGGAGTTCAAAATGGTGCTAACTAGATCTAAAGCTTCATATTATACACAAGGAAATCTCATATTGTTCTTGTTTTAGTTGACATTTTTTCATCGCGGAGTTTGATAAAAACAAAATTAAATGTTCACGAGCTGCCGTGTTTCTATCGGCGACAGTGGTAGTGGTAGCTATTATTGTAACTCTGTGTCATTTTTAGATCAATACTTGATGTAAATCATCTCCTACCATGCCCCCCCCC